CACATAATCTATCAGAGCAGTAGTTTTCTTATTAGTAAGGCAGTGGCAATGATGCTATCTACCTGTGAGTTGAGAAAATTAAAGTAATTATTATACTTAAAGTTCTTAGAGTGGTATAAGATTCTAAGTACATACGTATAGTGCTCTGTGTGTGTTTTATGAAGATGTGCCCCTTCTTTTTCAAAGTACTTTGTTCTAAATGAATTACCATGCAAGTTTCATTTTCTTCATTATATCTTTATATCTAGGTACCTTATGATGTCCAATTTTTAATCCTTAGCAGAGGCATAAAATTTAGCTCAGTCTATGTTATTTCTTTGTTTTGTTTAATAGTTGATTTTATCTTAATGTTGAGGTATCCAAGGGAAAACCAGTCAATACTCAGGCACTCAGGGGTTCAGAATTAGTTATTCTACTTGATAATGTAAGCAACTCTTTCAGAAAATAATACTTTCTGAGAAAAAAAAAAGAAGTTCAAATTTTTCACTGTAAGTGGATGTCTGACCCAATGAAGGAAAGCCTGGCAGGGCTTAGACATCTCTATCACTGTGGCAAGAAGTATTATGGAGTTCTTGAGTGTAGTGTCCTCATTCCTGGGCAGTCTTGGATAGTGTTCCTCACCCACCTCAGAACTGCTTCCCGTAGCTCCTGAAGCTTACCCTACGTCCCCTGAGAGCCAATTGCTAAACTTTCAAGAATGTGTGAGTTGGCCCTGGCCGGTTTGGCTCAGCAGTAGAGCGTTGGCCTGCAGACCGGAGAGTCCCGGGTTCGGTTCCTGCTAAGGGCACGTACCTCAGTTGCAGTTTGTCCCCGACCCCGGCGTCGTGTGGGTGGCGACCACTCGATGTGTCTCTCTCGCATCATGTTTCTCTCTCTCTCTTCCTTCCGCTCTCCCTCCTGCTCTATCTGAAGATAAATGCAAAAATGTCCTCGGGTGAGAAAAAAAAAGAACGTGTGCGTTAGTTGTGAAATAGTTAAACAAAGCCTGTGTTTAAAACTAAGTACAACTAAGTGGATGTTCTTAAAAACAAAACAAAAATAATACATACTCAAAATGTATCACTTCCTGATTAGTTCACCACATTTGTCTCTCATTTATGCTCTTGAAGTTATCTATGTTTCTTGTGTCTGTGTGGTGGAAATGCCACACAATTTTGAGGTTGGTCACATCTTTTCCCGACTGTGGGTTTAACCACATCACATCACAACTTAAAATCAAACAGGGGTAGAATTACACCACAGAAATAGAAAACTACTGCAAATCAAGGCTTGATTTATTGTCTTACTCATTGTTTAGATTTGATGTAATGATGGAGTAAATATTAATGATGCAGGCTATATTTTAAAAATATTTCCGTAGCTATGATCGTGTGCACAGCACAAAAATGTGATGAAATATGATTACACTATTCAAAAACTGTTGTCTGATTCAGGAAAGATGTCACTGAGATAATTGATAAATGAGTTATGTTCTGACATATTTAATTGGTTCAGAACTCAACAAACTTTTCCTATCAGAAACTAGTCAGTAGTTTAAAGTTTAGGGGCTATATAAAGTCTTTGTTACACATTCTTCTTAAATATTTTTTTATTGCTGTTTTATTTTTTATGCACCCTTTAAAACTATAAAAAATCATTCTTCATTCAGTGGCTGTACATAAATAGGCCAGGACTGGATTTGGCCTGCTGCTTATGCCTGTAGTTTGCAACCCCTGGCTCTTACCCATTAATGCCAATGAAGATAACAACCAAACATCAAAGTCACATTCATTAATTGTAACCGTAACTTTTGGAGTCCCTGTGGATTCAAGAGTTCAGTAAAAATTACCAAAAGCATTCTGTGAGAATCAGTTGGCTATATAGAATTTGTAATAAGTATTGCATATTTAATTAATATTTGTAAATGTAGACTACACAGCCTTTACATCAGTAACATGTGGAATAAATTCATAAACATATATTTGTCTATCCATCCATCTATCCCTGCATTCATCCTTCTATCCACCCATCTATCTCGACACCTAGACATCTAGATCTTCATCTCCAGCTGTCTTTAAACATTCCCAGCAGATGACTCTGCCTTCCTCCCCCACCCCCTCTCCCTGCTCCTGTGGAGATTACCTTCAGTACTCTGCACGTTGTAGACTGGATTCCCTGGACATGATGACTCAAGCCCACCGTGGCTGTTAGTGATGCCTTTGACCCCTCTCTCTGCATTGAGGCTCCGATTCCCATTAAACCACAGCTTGTTTGGCCATTTATCATCAGTAACAAAGCCATGCACCTCAGTGCAGCCACTCCTCTGGACTGAGCCTGAATCTCCATTCAGAATTTAAACAGAAAGTGAGAGCAAGCGACCCTCTCTAGCCTTCGTGGTGCCCTCTCTTATTGTCCTAGTCAGCTCAGGCTGATGTAACAAATATTCTGTAGAGTTGGGGCTTACAGAGCAAACATTTATCTCTCACAGTTCAGGAGGCTGGGAAGCCCAAGATGAAGGCTCCAGCAGAGTTAGGCCCTGGTAAGGACAGCTTCCTGGCTTACAGATGGCTGTCCTCTCGTTCTGTCCTCATGTGGCCAGCGAGGGAGCTTTTGGATTCTTCAGCTCCTTATAAGGGTGGCTCCATCATGATGCCTCCACTGTCATGACCTCCCTCAATGCTACCTAATTACCTCCCAAAGTCTCCTCCTCTTGATGTCATCACTTTGGAGATTAGGCTTCAACATGTGGATTTGGGGGAGGTGGCAAACATTTAGCTCATAGCACTTACCTAATAAATCTTTTACTCCTTTGCTTAAAATCCTGTGGTCCTCCAACTTGGCCAAAAAATGACTTCCAAATCCTGCACTGTGATGTACTATACTCCCCATAGTGCATTCCTCAAAGCCATTCACAGTTTTCCAGTCCTAGGGGTTGTTCACTTCGCTATGCTCATCATTCTTCCATTGCTTTGTATGTTGTCCTCCTCACTCCCTTTTCTACTTTGATAAGTTTCAAGCTCATCCTTCAGGTGAATATTGCTAAATTTGCATTGCTTCTATCCTGTGCTTAAATTCAACACTTAATAATCAGAGAATTTTGAGAAAATTAGACTAAACTTAAGATATGGATTTTACATTACATTATGGGGTTTTCTGATTTATAGTAATTATACTAATAGAAATAACTTATTGATCCTTACCAGGAGGCACAATAAGCACGCTGCATATGTTGCCTGGTTTAATTCTCACAATACCTGCATGACATGAGTCCAACAATAGTCCATTATTTTACTGATGAAAACTGATGCATAGAGAAGTAGCCAAGCCTTATGCTTAAATCTGTCTAATCCCAAGACTTAGAGTATCACTGTTTCATATTATGTGTAACTCACTGTACATGTGCATAGTGGATTGGATGTAAAAATCTGATGGCATTTTACTGTTTTAATTAATATGATGAGATCACTTTTGTACAAGTGCTTTGCTATATAGACTGTGAAGCACAGTGTTAATATTAATTAACTTAAGAAGAATTTCGTTTGCTAAAAAAATAAATCTTAGGGTAAAAGTACTATGTATCTTCTAAGGAAACCACTGATAAACATATTTAATGAACTATTGTTTTGAATGGACTTTTTAAAATTAAAGGTGCAAAGTGTGTGAGGGAGCAAGAAGTGCATTCATTTATTATACGTATGGAGAGAGGTGGAGAAAGGGAGAGAGAAAGAACATCTGCATACCTTGTAACAGCGTGGTTTTCAGAAACAGTGAAGAAAAGAAAGGAACAGGTCTTGTGTGTTTTATGAGCCATTAAGTCAGCTCCGATTCCTGACGGTCCAATGAATGAGTGATGTCCACAATGTTCTGTCCTCAGTAGCTCTGCTCAGCTCCTGTAGACTCAAGCTTATGGCTTATTTTTAAAAATTTATCTTTATTGTTGAAAGTATTACAGATGTTACCTCTTTCTTCCTCTGTTGACCCCCTCCACCCTGCTCCTGTTCCCTCCAGGCCTTCACTACACTATTGTCTTTGTCCATGCGTCATGCATATATGCATATAAATTCTTTGGTTAATCTCTTCCAGCCAACACCCCCTCTTTCCTCTGAGATTTGTCATTCTCTTCCTTGCTTCCATGTCTCTGAATCTATAGTGTTTATCAGTTTATTTTGTTCATTAGATTGTAGGGTCAATCCATCTCATAATTGGTCTCCTTCCTGCTGCCTTCTGTTTTTTCTGAGCATTATTGTCTTTTCCACAGAACCCTGCCTTTTCATGATGTGCCCATCGTAGGACAACTATTTGCCTCCAGTGATATTTCAGGCTTAATTTTCTCTAGGACCCACTTACTCATCTTTCTGGTGATCTGGGGTATTCATAGAGCTGTCATCCAACAAAATTGCAAAAGAATCCATTTATTTTTTCCCAATTAGCCTTCTTCACTGACCAACTTTCACATCGATACATAGTAATTGGCATGAGGGTGTAGATGACCTTAGCCTTGGTCTCTAATGACGCATCTTTGCTCTTGGTGATCTTTCCCAATTCTTCCTCTGCTGCCTTTCCAAGTCTCAGCCTTTTCTTGATTTCTTGGCTATTATCTCCATTTGAATTGATGACCAAAGCAAGTTGAACATAATCTCTACCCCTTTTTTTGTCTTCAGTGTCTGCTAAAGTTGTGTATTGCTTCTGTAGTCATGATATTTGTCTTATTGGTGTTCAGATGCATTCCTGCTTGGTAACTTTCTTCTTTCACTTGAATCAGAAGTTGTTACAAATCATTGCTAATTTCTTCCAGTAAGATGGTGTCATCAGCATATCTTAAGTTATCACTATTTCTTCCAAGGCTTTACCTTCCAAGGACTTTGCCTTCCTGGACTTTTCTAATGGCAGAGAAAGAAGATACCCAAGTCAGCAAGTAGATGCACCATGTGATGTCAGGTTATAGTTGATCCTGTGATTTTTAGTTCAGGGTGTAGAAGAAAGACATGATGTAACTCTCTTCTCCTCTTTCATTCTTTCAGCACTTCGACTGTTGAAGGAAGGGGTGGACCCCCACACACCCGTTTCCTCAGGAGGGTCCTTGCTCCATCTGGTAAGAACTGTGATGACCAGTACAAATGTGGGTGACTCAGTTATGGGGTCAAAACTCAGTAGCAAGTACATCTGACAGATGATCAGAAAAAGGATGTTTCACATTAAGGATGTTATTGTCTTTGGTGATAAATTAATATTTATTAATTACTTGCATTATAATTTGTAAATAATCTTTAGAAAATGGAGTTAGAGTCTCTGCCCTAAAGAAGATGCTTTTGTAAATGAATAGTATTCAACAAATAAGCAAGAGAATATTGTATCAATTATAGAGTATTAGGCAATCATTCTTTTACATCCATAAGTTGTTTTTACTGCTCCAATGAATTTTATTATATTCTGCTTTTGGCCTGGCTCATATAAATATAAATAAACCTTATATTCTTTTGGAAACAAAATAAGAAGATTAAAGTGATAAGCTAGATGGGAAATATATTATTAATTCTTGATCCAATAAAAATATATTACATTTTTATACTGTTAAACAGAGGTTGTGACTCTAAGATGATGGGGGAAGATGGACCCGAAATACATCTAAGAAAACCTGATGATGCCTGAAGGAACATGGTTCTCAGTGCTGGGTCTCCTTTTTCTGGGGTTACTGAGTAAATACAAACAAATGAAAAATTGTAGGTTGCCAGAGAGACAAAATTACAGGGTTTAAAAATGACTTAAATACCGAAAGAGGCAATTTAGCCATCTAAAATGTCAAGAGGGAGTAGGTTGCTCTGCAGTTACCCTACCTTTTAGGCATTCCACGTTGCGAAGCCTGATGCTTTATCAGCACCAAAGCTCTAATTACGTGTCCTTAGATCAACGCCTTTGCGAAAAAAGCAGCGTGTGTTTGTGTGGGGCATCAACGATCAGCTGTGGAAACTGTGATTTCCCAGAGCTTTGTTTATTTAACTCAATTATTATTAATTCAGTACCTGACTCTAAGCGTAGATTTCTATAGGGCATTCCCCTTAGAGGTGACACAAGAACTTTTATGTTGGAGATGAACAGTTCCCACCATATTAAAGATGGGTCTTTAAGAAACAGGCTTTAATATTTTTTGTACGTATAAATTAAAGTTATATCTACATTGTTAACAAATGCATCTGACTTTATCTGTTTACCTACCCTTCGCTAAATAATTCATGTATCCAACCTAAGGGAGATGTCAGGTACTGTAATAGAAGGGAAATGATGTCAACAAGTAACAATATCAACAACCAGGGATTTAGTCTCATGAGGGCAATATAAATGGAAACTCAGATTTAACTCTTTAAGATAGTATGATATTTATGGAGCTGAAAACCGAATCACATAAACCGTGCTAAAATGCTATCCAGGGTTTTGTGTTACGGCTTTTAATAAATGAACACTCGAGAAAGAGCTCCTGAAGGTAACAGAACCTTTTTGAATGGAGTGTGAAAGCAAATTCTTTTCATTCAGTCCTTTGACAGCAGCGGGCCGTAGGGAAGCTTAAGTGAAATACATTAGACATATGAAACATTCTTACTTTTACCTGGGAAATGTACTTTTAATATAAATGTGTAGCCACTATGGAAAACAGTATGGCGATTCCTCCAACATTAAAATTAGATCTGCCATACTACTCAGCAATTCCACGTTAGGGTATTTCCCTGAAGACAACAAAAACACTGATTTGAAAGCTATATGCAACCCTAGGTTCATTGCAACATTGTTTACAAGAGTCAAGATATGGAAGCAACCTAGGTGTCCATCAATAGATGAATGGATAAAGAGCATGTAGTGGAATGTTACTCAGCTATAAAAAAGAATGAATTTTACTATTTGCGACCAAATGGATGGATCCAGAGGGTTTTATGCTAGGTGAAATAAGTTAGAGAAAGACAAATGCTGTATAATTTCTCTTATATTTGAAAGTTAACCCCTTCCCCCCAAAAAAACAACAAGACACCATAGACAGAATAAATTAATAGTTGCCAGAGGGGAAGGGATTGGGGGATGGGTGCAAAGTGGGGCACACTCCAGTTATAAACTAAGTAAGTCACAGAGATATAGTGTACAGCATAGAGAATATGACAATACTATCAGATGATTACTAGACTTATTGTGGTGATTACATTGTAAGGTATATAATTGGTGAATCACTATATTGCACAATGGAAACTAATCAATATTGTATGCCAAACTATACTTTAATAATTTTTTAAGCCCAGCCAGTGTGGCTCATTGGTTGAACGTCGATCCATACATCAAAAGGTCACTGGTTCGATTCCTGATCAGGGCACATGCCCAGGTTGTGGGCCTGATCCCCAGTGGAGGGCATGCAGGAGGCAGCCAGTCGATGTTCTCTCTCATCAATGTTTCTATTTCTCCCTTCCTGTCTCTCTAAAAATCAATAAAGGAAAAATTTTTTAAAATAATTAAAAAAAAACCACTGAGCTATGACAGATGTGAGAATATGTCCAAGACACTGGTAAATATCAGGTTAGGGATTAGTACATATAGTATAATGGGATTGATAGATGAGGGAGGAAGGGGGTAGATATCTGTATCTATATATGTATATAGATATAGATATATACAGAGAGATCAATGAATTGATGATTGATAGGTGATAGATAGATAGATAGATGATAGATAGATAGATAGATAGATAGATAGATAGATAGATAGATGATCGAGTCTTTTCATCAGCCAAGAAAATCTTAAAGACTAGACAAGAAATTTTTAACAGTGATTCAGGTTGAAGGAAGAAGACAAGGTCTTTCATTTTTCCTTTTATAAAATGCTTGAACATTTAAAATCATAAGCATGTGTGTTGTATATAATAAAAACTTAATACAAAAATAGGAATGTTTTTACTAGAAGCTTAAATTCTAAATATTTTAATCACTTTCCTACCCTTATAAGAAAAGCTGGTGCTCTTGACAGGGCTGACCTTGGGCTTCACTCTATATTTCTTTGAAGTCTCCGGAGCTGTAAGAAGTAGAGACAGCAACTTACTACAGTAGAAGCAGTTCAACATCTTTAAAATTGAGGAATAAATAATATATTTTGAAAAGAGGCAGACTACTAGGACTCTAGAGAAAATGTCTAAAAAATATCATTATAGAAATGGTGTAGATGTCAGCCAAAGTAGTCACTATGTGGCGGTTGTCCACACTTTGCCCTGCTCACCCAGACCAGAGCCTCTGGCCACCGAGCACGTAACTCCAGCCGCCTTTGTTTTCCCAGAAGAGAAAGGGCAGGTGCTGCAAGAGTAAAGACCAGTGAGAAAATTAATCAGAGCCAAGGAAAATATGTCCTGTCCCTGGGGAATTTCTGGGGGGATGTGGAATGGGCGACATCCATACAGGACAGTGCAACAGGAAGCAGAGGGCCAAGTGAAGGAGCACAGTGGAAGCAAAGGGATGATGCTAACGGGAGAGAAAGGCTCATGTATGGATTTGAAGGAACCTGGGAGGCAGGTTCATTAAGAGGCTTGTCATCAGGGTAGACTTCCTGGGAGGGGGGTCCATGTAGTCACAAAGGGCTTTGTGCTTAGAAGGCCTTGTGCTTTGGTTTCATGTTCCGCTGTCACCATTTTGAAACACTTAGTAAGTCTGGAATAAGGGGCCCCACGTTTTCATTTTGTGCTGAGTCCCACACATCATCTAGCCAGTCCTTCTTGGCACTTCGAGAGGCAGAGGATGGTGCCAGGAGGAGCTGGAAGATACAGGTCCAGGCTGCAGGTGGAGCTAACTGGTGTCAGAGTGCTGCTGAGGGGGCAGAGTGCTGTCTAGCTACTTACTGGGCACTATCAAGTGCCCCCAGAAGAAATTGGCAACGTGATAAAGAACAATCTGAATTGGGACACAGATTTGTTAACTTGAAGAAAATTATTTTTAGGGAGAATTTAGTTTACTATCTAGCAATAATATTGTAAGAATATTGTAACAGGAATGTTCAACCATCATAATCTTTTCAGACAAGTGTGATTAGAGGGTATTTATTGCTGTCAAATTATTATTCATAATTCTCTGAAACGTGAATCTAAAAATGACATGACTTGAAAGGGGCTGATATCACTTTCAACACTCTATCTAATTGACTCTTTTTTGGTAAAAGACACTGAAAAGCCAAACCGTGGGTTTCTTTGAATTATAAATGCGGATTCCTGAAGTGCAGGTTGAGGATCTCTTGACAGGCACAGGAGGAAGAGGTCACATCTTTATTGATTATGCAGTGAGCTCTCAAAAAGATGAGAGTGGAATAGAAATTACTTTCATATGAATTTCCTAAAGGAAATTGAATCCAGGCTCCAAATTCCAAAACAATGTTTTGAGCTTTCTTTCTCTCGTTCTTACCTTATCAGTCCTTGTATCCAAACCTGCAGCTAGTGTGGATGGGGTCCCAGTTCTTACCAGCAGGGCCTGATAATAGTGATCTTTTGCTATACTGTTGCATACAATGTGAAACATCTGATAGCCAAAGATCCGAGTTCAAAACTGAAACTAATTTCTCAGACATCATGTTTGACACAGCCCTGGGTGCTTCCATGCATCCCAATGTGCATGCGTGCTCATAGCTCCCTTCATGGGGAACTTACACCATAATTTTGCATTGTACTCAGTGTATCTTCTTGAGACTGTCAGGTAATGGATACATATGAATATTCTTCAATGACTACATATTATGATTGTCAACCACAATTCCCACACCTTATGTTTTTAGTAAAGTTATCAGTTCAAATCTTTTGCCTAGTTTTTTAAAAACATTGGGTTGTCTTCTAATTACTAATTTTTGATATAATTAAATGATAACAAAACATAAATATCTACATAGTTCCCATTTCCATGCTATCAATCTGTTCGGTGTCAGATTTTTTTTTTTTTTTTTGAAGTTTTCCCATAGATGATCTATCTGTTCATTTAAAGTCATTTTTCTCTCTGTGTTTTATTTTGGTTTTTTAATTTTTTTTTTCTTTTCATTGATTTTTAGAGAGAGAGAAAGGGAGAGGAAGAGAGAGATGGAAACATCGATGAGAGAGAACATTGACTGGCCGCCTCCTGCATGTCCCCCACTGGGGACTGGGCCCACAACATGGGCATGTGCCCTGACTGGGAATCGAACTGGCGACCTCTTAGTGCATGGGTTGATGCTCAACCACTGAGCCACACCAGCAGGGCTCTCTGTGTTTTATTATGTATAATTGATATTACTGTTTTCAAGTTTATTAATCTTGTCTTCTGCAATATTTACTCAATTGTTAATTCTATCCGGTAGTATATTTTTCATTTCAACCACTGTGTTATCTCTAGAAGTAAAATTTGAGCCTTGTTACTATCTTCCATGTCTCCACTTACCATGTTCATTTAGTTCCCTTAGCTTTTTAAACATATGGAATATAGTTATAATCACAGTTTTTACACTCAGATTTGCTCATTCTAACAGGCATATAAATTCTGAGTTGGTTTCCATTCATCACTTTTTCTTCTCATTGTGTTTCTTATTTTCCTAATTTTTTGTATATATGATAATTTTTTTTTTTGGATGCTAGACATAGTCAATTCTGCCTTTTTGGGTACTGAATACCTTTGTATTTCTGTTAATAATCTTAAGCTTTGTTTTGGGGGCAGTTATGTTATTTGGAAGTAGTTTGGTCTTTTCAGACCTTGAATGTAATATTTTTTGGGTGGAAACACAACAGTTATTTTAAGGAAAGGATTTTCCCACCCTGGATGCAAGACACATCTGGTCTCTGCCCAATGCCCCCTAAATTATGAAGGCTACAGCCTGGCTGGTAGAAACAGGCATGATTCCTGGCAATGTATGAGCTCTGAGTCCTTCGTCGTTTCAGAGTGTTCTGTTTCTGACGTTGGGTAGTTTCCTAGATTGTATGTACTGATCATGATTCAGCTGAGTACTTGAGGGGGTCTCTGCAGTTCTCTTTCTGTGCAACTATTCCCTCTGCTCCTCTGCCCTGTGCACTCTAACCATCTGGATCTCTCTGGATCTTCAGTTCATTTTCCTCCTGACTGATATCGGTTAACCAGGATTCTGCTCTGTGTTCTGTAGCTTGGGAAGTCCCTCAAGGCAGTAAGTTGTAGTATCAGCAAGAGTAGGGCTACCTTGTTTACTTCTCAGCTCTCGGAGGCTACAATGTGTCTTTTTTTTATTTAGTAGTTTGGGGTAGGAAGGCAAATACAATTCCTGTTACTCAAAAGTGGAGGTCCTCCAATGAATGATTTTTACTTTTACCATTCAGTGAATAGGTAGATGTATTGGTTTGACAGTACTTCTGGTGGTATCATTGCTTTGTACACCTTTGGGGAAGATAATCTGTTTTGTGCATCCAAATTATATAAAAAGTGTATGTCTTACAACCCAGCAATTTTACTGATAGGCATTTTACCTATGAATAGGTCTCTTTTTTTTTACCTGTTTTTACTAATATGGATCTAACATTGATATATCATATGATGCAGATATGAAAAAGTCTTATACAAGGGCTAAATCTTTTCAGGGCCAGGTACAATATGAATATGTGTAACTCTACAAAAGTTATTAAATATTTAAGATGGCCATAGCAGTGCATTAAAGCAAGGGCAGGATGCATCTCCATGGATCCTACACCCATGAAGCCAGGTGTGACTTGTACATATAGTATTAATACATGTTTTAAATAGAAATAGTAAATAAAAATAAGAACAAAATAAGTTCCTGGAGGTTTTGATCTAGTATATTATGGAATATCTATAAAATATAATATTATGCAATCATTAAAACATGTTAGAAGTTTCTTCAATCATAACAGTTAACTTTTACAAGTGGCATGTTATGTAATGCCTAGTTGTCTTATGCAACTAGTGTGAAGATTATTTATGAGAATGTTGACAAATGAAGATGGAAAGACTGTGAAAAGTTTGGTCCATCTTGGAGGAAATAAAATGCTGAAACTTTATTCTTTTGGCAGGGTGAAACTATACATTTTTAAAGCAGAAGGTTCATGTGATTAAATCTGTATTTTAGAAAGATAATTCTGATAAACGCTCCAAGATTTTCTAATATTATCTATAAATGAAGAGGACCCAAGTAGTAAAATGTTTTTTTTCTCTTTATAATATTTGCCCCTTCTTCCTTATTTTTCTTCCAACTGCTCATGAGCTCAATTTCCCTTTAGGTCTTATATATGCCTTTTCTTGTAAGTTAGTTGAGAAACATGAATACATTCTTTCCCAGGTTAGATCCACCTCTAAATCTCTAAAATAGGCATTGGAATTTTCTATCTATGGGAATTTGGAATAAACTTACTCATAGCTTGTTAAAATATTGTATTTTCTTTTCTTTTTTTCCCTTTTCTTTAGTGTGCTCGCTATGATAATGCCTTCATTGCAGAGATCCTGATTGACAAAGGGGTCAATGTCAACCACCAGGACGAAGACTTTTGGACACCAATGCACATTGCCTGTGCATGTGATAATCCTGATATTGTCCTGCTCCTTGTATTAGTAAGTAAAGCAATTAAGTTGATAACCATTTGAAGATTTGATGGCATATAAAAGGCACATATTGCCTGGATGGTATGGCTTGAGCATCGACCCATGCACCAAGAGGTCACCAGTTTGATTCCCAGTCAGGCACCTGCCCAGGTTGTGGCCCCAATTCCCAGTGGGGGGCATGCAGGAAGCAGCCAATCAATGTTCTCTTTCATTGGTGTCTCTTTTGTCTCCTTCTCCCTTCCTCTCTCTCTAAAATCAATAAAGAAAAATAAAATAAAAAATTAAAAGGCTACATATTTATCTAGTAATATCACATAATATACAATATTTCAGTAGAGAGGGGGAAAAATGTGTGTATATGTCATGGCTTATTCACCTGAAATTACAAGATAGTTAGAGACTATGATTATGGGTTACATAATTTATAAAAAAAAATTGTGTTAATATCATGGCAGGTTCTCCTCCTGTTATTTTTTTCTTGGTTATTCTATGCCTTAATACTTCATAAGTCAGTCCTAACTAAAATGGTTGGATAATTGTATTTTTTTAATGCCTTCTACTAATTTTTAGTAAACTAGGAATATAGTAATAAGGAGGTGTGGCTTGTATTGAATCTTGTTCTCGTGATTATATCTAGTAAAGAAATATCTATGACATTTATATTATGAAAATAAAAATTTTAAGTGTAAATATCATTGGAAGTATTTGTTGTTTTCAATTATAGCTTAGACCCTGATATTGATCCTTATAAAATATTAGTACTTTTGTTAAAAAAAACCATGCCAGCGCCCGGCCGGTATTGCTCAGTGTTTGAGCGTCGACCCATGCACCAAGAGGTTGCCAGTTCGATTCCTGGTCAGGGCACATGTCTGGGTTGTGGGCCAAATCCCCAGTGGGGTAATGCTGTAGACAACCAATCAATGTTCTCTCTCCTTGATGTTTTTCTCACTCTCTCTCTTTCTTTCTCTCTCTCCTTCCCTCTCTCTTCCTCGCTCTCTAAAATCAATAAATTAAAAAAAATTTTTAAGTGAAAAATAAAACCAGAAAAACATGCCAGCACTTTAGAGATGCTCAGTGTATATTTGTTGAATACATAAATAAACACATAAATGAATGAATGGCAGGCCAGTGTTTGGAATTCAGCCTGCATTTAATATTACCATTCATTATTAACACATATCTAATAAAAACTCTCTTATAGCTACATTCATCTTTACACATGTTCTAGACTTCTTCATTCTACTCATTTTGTGCTATATTTAGAAGTACTTGCTTCTGCGCACAATGGTCTCAGTGTCTGATGCTGCTGCTTTTCTTTACCAGATAGAATTGAGAAATAGAAACTGGTTGTATTTCATGTGTAAACATAGATTTAAATTGATAATTGTTCAGCTGTTTGCATTTTTATGGCTTTACAATGCCAATTCTCACATCATAGAATGATCTGCCCATATATGAGAAGTTATGTATTTGATAGCTACTGTTATTCAGTGAACTTCATACGCTGATCACTGTCTTCATTCATTTATTTGTTGATCACTAATTTTTTAAACATAATTTCTTCTCTCAAGTAAATTACAGTTCATTTGTTAAACAGATATTTATTGAGTGACTTCTATGTTCTAGGTGCTACACAGTGAACAAAAAAGACATTTTATATTATAGTGTAATGGCAGAAACAAACAAAAGTTAGCAATGCAAATGTACCACCAAGAAATCAGATTAATGGATTAAGCAAGTCTGAGTAGCCTCATTGCCACTGTGTTATAGTCAGCCCACCATCCAGCCACAGAAATAATTTACTTACAAATAAATTTAGATTAAATACTTTGTCATGAACATTTTAATTAATGTAGAAATATGTTCCTGCTAACAACCTCAGAATCGAGATTTATTTTACTTAAATGCCATGGTGCATTTAGTCTTTCATGTTCAATATTCTTTAATTTTCCAAAGATTATTGATGAGTAAGAGAAACTGTGCACATTCACTGATTTGATAAATATTTGAAGACCTTCTATACCATACTAAGGGGTCAGCAGGGAGCAAAGGACGCAAAAATCTCTGACCGTTGGAGCTTACATTCTTCTGGGGAGAAACAGGGAAAAAATACATAAATGAATAAAATATATAGTTTATCAGCTAAGGAGAATTGTTGGAGGAGGCAAGGAGAATGAAGTAGAGGGAGTTAAGAAATAGTGTGATAGAGAAAGTGACATTTGAGCCATGAGCCTTGTGGGTACAGCAGGAAATGTGGGTGCAGCAGGTACTGGGCAGCAGTGCAAAGCTGTGTGATAGCATCTTGTGTTTGAGGAACAGCAAGAGACCAGTGCAGCTCAGGTGGAGGAGAGGAGGTCAGGGCAGGATGTGCAGTCAGAGGCCGTGGAGCTAACGAACCTACTACAAGGATGTTAGATCTACTTTTCCTGCAGGCGATTAAGGGAGCCACTGGAAGGTTTTGAGAAGAGATGCAGCAAGATTTGACTTACATTTAGATCACGTTGGCTGCTCTGTTGAATACAGACAAAGGGAAGGGAAAGGGAAGTATTAGGACATTTATTGGAAGCAGTTGCCACTATCCAGGCTGGACATGGTAGAGGTGGTGAGAAGTGGCCGTCATCTGGGCGTTTTGAAGATCAACTTTTCAGTATTTGGTGTGGAACTGGATGTAGGGCTTGGGAGAAAGAACAGGAGTCCCTTGAGGATGACTTCCACTTAATTTTGGCCTGAGAACTGGAGGGTTGGAATTTGGACTTGCTGAAATGCACAAGAGTATTATAACGAGGGAATAGGGTTGGGTTTAAAAATGAAGGCCTGGCTGGGGAGTGGGAGCAGGGTGGAGGAGGTCAATGAGGGAATAAGACGGGGACGTCTGTCATACTCTTAACAATAAAGATAATTAAAATGAATGACAAATATATTTTAGTCACATTTTTCAAGTTCTTCAGGAAGTCATTATCTATTAAAATGTCATTAAATTGCACAATGATTATTTATTGTGAGTTTTTGTTAAGTAAAGATGTATATGTGTATGTTACCAATGCATATAAAACAGCATTAGAACATTGCTATTTTAATTGAATCGCAAATGCTTTATGTTTTGGAGTAGGCATAGCTATTGTGAATATTGTCAGTACTTTTGCCAAATGATCTGCAAAGCTAGCAGATACTAATAATTAACTTTTTACAGTCTTCCCTATCGGTTGGGTACTTTTATATATGCATTATAATTATTTCAGGTAGTCCTCATACAATCATATTATTATTGTGCTAGCTTTTTCTGCTTTTTGTAAGTGAGGCAACATATGCTGAGAGGCTCATCTACAGGCTGAAAGCCAGTCAGAAGAGTCAGAGACAAGATTTGACCCCGTGGAGGTCAGCTTCAGACCTTAAACCTCCAACCAATCTGCTCTGTTGCCATATCGCTTATAGAATTCATACTGAGCTGACAGTCATCAAAGGGGACCAATGAGATCATGATTTTATTATCATATTATACATATCCCATAATATAGCTCCCTGAGTTATTTAGAATTAGGGAGGACAGTTAAGAAATATACACAGAGTTGATTTTCATTATTTATGGTAAGCTATACTGGGTGGGACAAAAGTAGATTTATAGTTGTTTGTATGAAAAATAATACAATAATTAATAAATAATACCGGAATAAACTGTGTTTTGCATACTCACCAGTGTCAACTTACTTTTGCCCCACCCTGTATTCTATAAAGTCAACCGGAAACACTGAATTAGTGAGTTGAATCATTGCTCTCAGGGGAAATACAGTGTTAAGTTCCGCAAGCCTCTGGTCACAATACATTCTCAACAGATCTGTACGGTTTGTCTTGTGGGTGTTTCTGTTTAAAGACACCTTATTTAATATATTGTCAATTCATATCCATTAAACTTGAGGCCAGTAACACTATCACTCGTGCTTGAACAAAGCGTATCTAACACACACACTTTCTATTAATGCTCATCACAGCCATCTTGTGTTAGGAACACTAGAAAGCAACTTAGCGTTGTGCTTGGGAACCATCTGAAACAGTGGAATCACCAGCAAAAAGCTCAAAGATTCGGGAAAAGGTGGCACGAAATTGATTGCAATAAAGACCTTTGTTTACACCGTGAGAGCTGAAACGGAAATCAGAGTATTGCCTTGTTGGGCCTCAGCTGCACACCTGCACATTGAGTGATTAAAACTTTCCACCACTCTGCAGGTGCGATGACCATGGAAATGCCATGAGGAATGATTTTCGTATTGAAAATAAATCTCAGCAAGTAGGTAGATTCGCAGATGTGAAATCTGTGAATAATGTGTATTGACTGTATTTCTTGCTAAGCAAAACAATCGATATTTTTTTGAATTTTAGGTAATAAAAATCATCTAAATTCAGTATATTTTAGGAATTGGGATTATCAAAAAAAAATGATGCATTTCTATAATGTTTTCAAAATTTAGACAAAGAAGCCTCATTATTATTTTTACAGTTTCCATCATATAATTGAATAGGGTTTTGCAGTTTTCTAGAAATTTTATAAATGTCTCTCTGGGAATACAGAGCATTCCCATGATGTAAGAAAGAGACTTAATATATAATCCTTATTTTTATATAAAGAAGACCAATATCAGAGAGGTTATGTACTGTAGTAAAATCCCAAATCTAACTGTTTTGACTCTCAATAAAATGTTATTTTAATGCCTTATAATTTTTATATTTAACATATAATTGTATGTTATACATTATTATTATACGTTTATTAACTCAGAATTTTTTCACTTAATTATTTGACCATCTCCATATATGCATTTTAAATTTTATGTTCTGCATTATCCAGTTTTAAAAATATTTTCTAATTTGCTGCCATATTTAAACACCACTCCATAACTCCATTTATTTTCTAGTTCCCAAAAACAAGAATTCCACTGTAATTTTCTATTTCCCAGATTTTAAGAAGCTTTCGGTTATTCAAGAATAAATCATAAAGGCAGAAATGTGATTCACTC